AGTGCTGCTGCCGGTGCTGCTGGAGCTAGTACTACTGGAGCTTGTGCTGCTGGAGCTAGTGCTGCTCGAGGTAGAGCTGGAAGTGCTGCTTGTGGTAGAGCTGGTGGTGCTGCTAGTAGTGCTACTGCTGCTGGTGGAAACTGTCGTGGTCGTTGTTGAGCTCAAGCTAGCTGTACTTGTGCTGGTTGAAGTACTGCTAGTGCTTGTGGAAGTGCTAGAAGTTGAAGAAGTACTTGATGAGGTACTTGTTTGGCTTGTGCTGCTTGTTGTGTGTGTGGTTCTCGTACTGCTGGAACTAGTCAAAGTGGACCTGGTTGTAGTCATTGTCTCCGTGGAGCTTGTAACTGTGGCTGTCTGGCACAGTTGGCAAACAAGCGACAACCCTGGCAATGGCCCACCAAATTACAAAAGCTCTAGTGACAACCGACGAACCTCTGCACAGTTGTCTTACACAAGTGGGGCAAAAAGGGCACCGATACTGGAACTGAACTATGCTTTAAACGTTTTAAAAAAGAGCTATATAGGTTTTGGCAACCCGCTCACAAAATTTCAAACCTCCGTGTTCAAGTAGTGCACATCATCCAGGTTGCCTCGCGTCGCGCAACGGTTGATGCGGTTGATACACCAACTGTGAAGCAAGCAGGTTAGGTTGATGCTACCAGGCTGCTACTGTCCCGACCGCCAAACAACCAAATGTTGTCATCGCTGGCGATCACGGCGCTGTGTCCATTACGCGCCGCCGGGATGCTCCCTCCTACTGATGGGGATACCCAGGTAGGCGTGTCTGCCTCGCAATGCAGTAACATTGTCGTGAGCAAAAATGATGAAACAATCTTGCTGAGACAAGCCCACACATGCACCTTTTACCCATCTGGATCGCGCAGTTGTTTTTGTGGTTGAAGGTGTGAAGTGTTGGGGCCGGGAGGTGGAGATAGGCGTATCAGGGCGATGTGGGTTTGTTGACGTATGGCTGCTCAGAGTTCGGACGCCGCGTGGCCTGGACGTGGTGGAGAAAGCGCAGCATGGACGCTTGGCTATCAGTAAGCCCCAATAAATGGCACCGTAGAAAAAGAAGCGGTGAGACAGGGAGACAATTGGTTGGATAACGCCTGTAATTATTGGTGGCCAAACACGGACGACCGTTCATTCTTCACTTTGATGTTGTGCGATTTACGAACGCAAAGGTGATCAGGTTTTTGAATTTGGAACCTTCGCAAAAGTAATGCCGGTCAGCGTGAAGTGCTTTTTTTGTCTGGCATGCAGCCATGTGAGTGTACACTCACCATTGACTTGCCCTCACTGGTGTACCTTGGCACATTTACATCTACGCAAATCTTGCCAAGAAATACCAAGTTACCCGCAGAATGCGAACGTCTGCCTTTCAGCACAATGTGCTCTGGACATTACACCGACCTACAGCCTACAACGAAATGAACGGCCATCCCATCCCCAACCGCAATGACTCTCCAGTTGCGCTTGCTGCGACTGACCTTACAGTATGTTGCTCCACTAGTTGGTGTAGAAAAACATGGCGTTAGAATGCAAAGAAATATAGGCGCACCAACTGCAACGCATCCCGGCCTGTGTGTCTAAGTAATGCAAATCATTCAGGACACCTCAAGCCCCATGCTCAAAATCGATGCCAGTAGATGCTCAAAAGCTCAATGTCAACCTGCTGAGGCACCGTTAGCGTCATAGCCACCAAATATCCACATCTTGCCGTCGCTGGCAATTACAGCTGAATGATCGAAACGTGCCGCAGGGGCGCTGCCACTCACTGATGGAGATACCCAAGTTGGCGTTGCGGCCTGGCAATCAAGTAATCCTTCAAGGTTGCAAACAAGGAGAACACCAATAGTTAAAAGTTCAGCGCAACAGTTGTGCATGAAAAACGCATCACCAATGCTGAAACTGATTGGGGGCCCGCCTGTGTGTCCAGATAGCGCGCATCATTGAGGATGCCTCGAGAGGAGCACGATGGGGCATGAACGTGCACGGGCTTGGCAAGCAGTCCATTGAATAAGTATTCGTACAGAAAGGATTTTTGCAGCAATGCTGCAGTGGGCACAACTGTTGTACGTCGAACCGCCGAAGATCCACATCTTGCCATCGCTGGCAATTGCGGCCGAGTGCAGATTGCGCTTTGAAGGGGCGCTGCCACTCACTGATGGAGATACCCAAGTTGGTGTGTCTGCCTGGCAAGTCCAGAACAAACGCCCCGAGCTTGGTCGACCAGGCCGACATGATGTACTGCTTCTCACGTGTTGTAACAAATGCTGTGCTTCTGGATTACTGTAACCCATTTCGTTCAATGGATCAAACTTACTGCTTATTTGCAGGCGCTTTTCCCAGCAGCACACCTTGATAGATACAGCAGAGAAAACATCACAACAAAAAATTGCACGGGGGGAGAAACAAATACAATCAATCCTAGCTCAAAAAAAAACTGCAACAATCTACAGCATGTGCATTTGGTAGGGGCCAAACTGCATCTGTTGCAAGTTTGCGCAATAGCAATGGCAAACTTAAAATACCTCCAACATATTCTGTGATCACCTGAGCAAGTGAATGGCAGCGTGACGACATGGTGCTGCAACATATATATATATATATATGCAACTGTGTGGTTATGGGGTGAAGTCGACAGCGCACTTCATATGTCAGGCATGGGGAAATAGAAGGCAAAGAGGTGCAAAGAGGGTCGATATGATAGGCTCTTTAAACACAAGGTCTTGATCAAGGCCCGTTTTACTGCTAGCGGTTAAAGGGTAGAAGTGGAGCCCATGTGTTAGGAGAAAGGTTTAGGAGAAAGGTTGAATTGAGCAAGACATTTACAGTCGGGGGACAAAGGTTGAGTTAAGCAGGACATTCACACGTCCAGGGGCGTTTTCAAGCAACCAAAAAACACTCCTAAATAACTGAGCTTGCCTGCTGTTCGTTTCTCCTGTCTTGTACCTGGACTCATAAACTCGGTGTGAGTTTACAGCCAAGATTCACGTGGTTGTAAAACATCGAGCAAAGCTAAACTTTTGTTATGGCCAGCTCCTGGATCAACTCCCATCCGCCATTGTACCCGTCATAGGATAGACTTCGATCCGTACAAAAGTCCGACTTCTTTGGACGTCTATAGCTCTGAGGGGCGCCCTTTTTCATCCCGTTAACTGCCCTTTTCGCACTAAAAAAACACGCCCCACGCAGGTTCTTGACCGCTTTCTATTTCCTCTCCAGGAGATCCCATATCAAGACGCAGCCGCAAAAGATGAAACCCGCGAGTGCCCTCCTGAGTTGTCCGAACGCTATCTCCATGAGAAAGAGATTCTAGCTTGCACAGAGTCTCGCCGCCTGGTCAACTCCCTCAGTGTGGGGTGACATCGTTCCTTGTCTTTCGCTGTGAGGCTCGATATGATAGAGCGGACATACACAGCGCCTGGATCAACTCCCATCCACATCACACACGGTTTCTGGGCATAGCATAGACTTCGATCCGCGCAACAAAGTCCGACTCTCTTGGACGTCTATAGCTCTGAGGGGCACCCTTTTTCATCCCGTTAACAGCCCTTTTCGCAAAAGGGTGCCCCCACGCAACTTCAAGGTTCCTGACTGCATACTATTCCCTCCCCAGGAGATCCCATGTCAAGACGCAGCTGTAAAGATGAAACCTACATGTCCCCCGGCGTTGGCCGAACGCTATCTCTATCAAAAAGAGATTCTGGCTTGCGCAAATCTCGCCGCTTCTGTCCTTGAACTGGATGGACACACCTGGTTAGCCTGGCCAGCTCCCTCTGTGTGGGATGCATTTCCTGTCGCGCAGTCTCCCCGTTCCTGTCCTCTACCCCAAACTTCCACCCTGTGTAAAAAGTCTCCTGAGCACTTTGCGATGCTAATGATGCACTATTCAGCATCATTTGCATCGCTCGCGCCACCAAGACCGCCCAAAAACATACATTTTCATTAACTTTTGGGCACTCACTCTTTCCCTCTCCCCTGCCAGGCTCTGGGTTCACCCTACCCGCCGAAACCAAGAGCGCAACCACCCCCCCACTCCCCCTAAACTCACTTTGTTCGCCCATCGACAACTCCGGACTCCAGCCAAGCTGATCGGCTGGCTTTCGTAACAATACAGTATAGCGGCTAGCGCGTGTCGCCTGTGTATCCAGGTAGTGCAAATCGTTCAGTCGGCCTGATGCGACAGATGTTGGAACAAAGAGAAACGAAAAATGGCAATACACAAAAACTTCACATCAAATAAATAGCTGCTATAGCTGCCGCGCTGCTGTTATACAGGATGTAACCACCAAATATCCACATTTTGCCATCGGTAGCCATCACGGCGGAGTGCCCAGAGCGAGCTTGAGGCGCGCTGCCGCTCACTGTTGGAGACACCCAGGTAGGTGTTCCCGCCTTGCGATTTGCAAAGCAGAAGCAAACATGTTCATGTCTGGGCACACACTTAGGATAGGGTGTACTGAACTGAAAGCGGTGCCACACGCCGGCCTAGGTTACCATGTCCTAAGGGTACAGGTAAGGAAGCCTGAAAAAGAAGTGGAGGTCCATCAAGTTCAGCGTGGCCATCAACTCTAAAGGAACCACCGAACGATCGACCGACAGAATGACGTCGTCCGCTCACATCTGTAAATCAAAAACCAAAGCCCTATGCGTGACTGCCGAGAGCAAACCGGTGCAAAGGCTGGATTTCTTGGTAAAACTGCAGGTACGTCTGGCGGATCAGGCCAGATATCCGCATGTGCTGTGGCCGCTTCGTTGGACCATCGCTCACAGCACACGGATGGTCCCCCTGCTGAAAAAGAAAGAAGGCCATCTAACATTCCAAATGGATCCCTGTGATTACAAGGGGTACACACACACGCCTCCCCGAGGGCAGGCATATTTTAAGCGCCAAGCCGGGAAGGTTGAGTGAAACTAACGAAACTGACGAAGTTCACGGAATGTTTGGTAGGCAGTGAGTGGAACTCGTAGTTGACAAATGGCATCATCATGTAAACGAGGGGCGACTGTGTGAAGAGGTCGGTAGGGGAAAGGGGTGGCATGTCGTGAATATTCGTGTGGTATACCAAGTACACGAAGTCGTCGAGAGTTGACGTAGTAAAGAGCAAGATCCTTAAGTGTACAGGTATGTGGGACTTCCCAAACCCTGGAATTGCCGGTGGAGGGAAGGGCCATCCAAAAAGAGGTGCGCTGTTGTCCGATTCGGGAATAGATCACATCTTTGAGGTCATCAACCGTGTACTCCTTGGTCTCAAGCTGGGGCGTGTAAGGGTGACAGTGATATAGTTGAGCGGTTGATAGACCAAGAGGCTGATGTTCGGACAGTGGAGAGATGAGGCACTTGATCAAGAGTTTCAAAAGGTTGCCGTAGAGCTCTCCAGTCAGTAGGAATTAACTGAGTCAAAGGTTCAGGAACTCGAAGTCCAGGTGAAGAAATCATCGCGAGGGAGGAATACCGGGATGGATAGATAAGCTAAAATGGCTGCAGGGAGTAAATCAATGGGAGTGTCATGTAAAGTTAAAAGGGTTGGGGTAAGTGGTCATGGCGGTATAAACTTGTCAGGTGCGAAAACAATTGATTTGTGGCGTGAAGAGGTCGCATGAGGCGAGACAAGGGGAAGCACTTACGGCCTCAACCCGGCAAGAGGACCTAGTCCTGGCTCTCAGTCGTGGAAGGAAAAGGAGGTGGTAATGTATTCGGTGGGGAAGTCGAAGATGCGGTCAAGGACATTGAGGCAGAGTCGGGGACCGGGATGTCCACACCAGCAGCAGCAGGTGAGAGTGGTAGATCTGAGGAACTGTGTTGTGGTGCCATCAGTGTGGAAGTGTTGGAACCGCAGCAGGTAGAGAATGTCGGGAGAGGCTGCATGACTGCGAAGAACCTGAGACGTGTAGAACTTCTCGTTGGTGTCACTCCCCAGGCGATGTAGAAGGTGAAGTACATCCGAGGCCCGAAGAAGGTGTAGATCCAAAAGGCATTCCTGAGAGTGTTGACGTTCAAGACGACGATGATGACGGTGGAGTCGTGTGATGCCGATGGGACCAGTGCGGGTGGCGGGAATGCTGTATTGAGGACGTTGAAGGCCATGACGGCGAAGTAGAGGGTTGATCCAAGGGTGGTTGAGTTGGGGGTGAAGGTGTTGTTGAAGGGAGATTTCCGTCGAACGAGTGGTCATGGTGTCAGAGCTGAACTATAGAGGGATGACGGAGTGCTGGTAGAAAGCGCGGGTCCGTCGCAAAAAACGGAGGGCTGGTTCATAGTAGGCAGTGATTCCGCTGCAAAGTTGACGGTATTTGCGGGCGCGGGACGTTTCCCGATCGAACAAGGTGTGGATGCTGCTGCCAATGTAGAATGTAGAAGGCGATGCGATGGGGGTGGAAACGAAGGTAAACAACATTGCCGAGTGGAGGTAGTCCGTGAGGTAGAGTTGTTGTTGAGGACGAAGTCGATGCAGCAACGGAAGAAAATTGGTTCTGCGGGCACCTGCTGATAAGGTGCGAAGAAAAATTTGGCGGCAAAGTTGACCTTTGAGAAAGACCAGTGGGCGATGCTCCAAATAAGTGAGGTCACAATAAGCATCCACGGAAATAAAGAAGTCGAGAAAGGTACGAAGACAACGAACAGAAATGGGAGTGTTGGGGAGCATCCTTGAAAAATGGTCACTGTCACAAAATTCCGCGGGGTAGTGGTGTAGGAACCATCAGGCTGCCAGGGCATTGGCCGTGGCCAACAAGCGCACCAGAACATTCTGGGTGGCTTTCTGGGCTAAGGTGGGGTCCCATCCCCAGACCAGGCGGCGCAAATTGGGTGTGTCCAATTTGTCGGCTTCGAGATTGGCGAGAATCGTGTCGATCCTTAGCAATCGCTTCCAATTTGGTCAAGCGAGCCCGGTCCTTGACGTTGGCCTTGATCCACTTGTCAATGTCAGCATCACGAAGCTAGGGCAGGGGACGATGACCCGGAGGCAAGCATGAACGAAGCTCGCGGAAACCGGCGTATTGTGACTGAGGTTCTTTGGCATCAACCAGCGCTTGAATGGAGCTAGCCTTGGCTGCCCACCACTTATTTAGGGTAGCAGCAACCTCGCGTTTACAGGATGCACAAGCGGCGCGGAAGTCAGCTCTGGAGCCACCCTGCTTCCAAGCCAAGAATTGAATGCAGCACGACTACGGCTGATTTTTGCAAGCTCAGGGGCATGGTCAAGCTTCCATTGCGGACCGGGCGCGGAGGAGCGAAAGCCTACAAAATGTTTAGCCGCCCGGCGTAGGGCATAATCCCAGGAGTCATCCACCAGGTCATCTTCAAGGAAGTCGCCCATGCAGACAGGAGTTAACCGCATCAACCACGGTCGGGTCGGCAAGACGGTGCGCAGCAAGAGGTGGGAGTTTGCGCGTTTCATCCGGACAGCGCAGTCGAGAGGCAGGCCTACCTCGGTACGAGGGCGGAGCGAAACGGAGTTTGACTTTGACACATCGGTGATCGGTGTTGAAAGCAATACCCGGTTTGACACAGACGTCCATAACACAGCGCGCGGAACGACGGGCAGCCAACACACGATCAATTTGGAACCAGCAGCGGGATTTATTTTGAAACCAGGTTCCATAGCGCTTACCCGAAGTTTGCCTGTCGGGGCACTCTCACGCAAGGCAAGCAATCGTTCTCCATTAGAGTTGGTGCGCAGGAGACTGTAGGGGCCTACAATGAGGTTCTCATTGAGCAACTCTTCATCAGTCTGCCCACGCAGCTCTGAAGCAGCGGGCTGGCGTTGAAATCCCCGAAAATTAAAGGGCCGGATAGCCCACATGTTAACAACTTCACCAGACACAGGAGTCACAGGAGCGGACAATTGGTGGTTGGTGGGCGACAATTGGTTGGTGGCAATTGGTTGGTGGCAGTCTGTTGGTGGCAGTTGGTGACAGTTTGTGGAAGATTGTTGGTGGCAATTGGTTGGTGGCAGTTTCTTGGTGGCAATGGGTTGGTGGCAAGTGGTTGGTGGCACTTGGTTGGTGGCAGTCTGTTGGTGGCGGCAATTGGTTGGCGGCAGTTTGTTGGTGACAATTGGTGGGTGGCACTTGGTTGGTGACAATTGGTTGGTGACAATTGGTTGGTAGCAATTGGTTGGTAGCAATTGGTTGGTGACAAATGATTGGTGGCAATTGAATGGTGGCAATCGGTGGGTGGCAACCCTGGAGTGCACCAAGGGATCAGAGCGGCGCAGCGGCGGAGCCCCAACTGCACCAGGGCGTATAGCCGACCCCCTGGAGTGCGCCAAGTGCTGCAACCTGCCACGGTTGACGGTTGGTGGCAATTGGTTGGCAGTTGGTGATAATTGGTTGGTGGCAATTGGTTGGTGGCAATTGGTTAGTGACAATTGGTGGGTGGCAATTGGTTAGTGACAATTGGTGGGTGGCAATTGGTTGGTGACAATTGGTTGGTCATTCGTGGCTGCGCTCGCGCATGAAAACCAGGGTCGATGTTAAGTGCACGGTCTTGGACATATGAAAAAAACCCCACAGGAGCTAGTCAGGCGACTGCAAGGTGTCTGACACGCACGCGCAGGGGTTTAGAGCACAGCACTTCACAGGAGGCGCTCCAATCCCTAGACGGGCGTCCCCCCTCCGTTGGCCCTACGTCAGGCCAATCAAACAAAACCAAACAAACCAACGCCCCAGTATAGGTTGCCCCTGGCCACCCGGACCCAAGAACCGACCAAGCGAACGGGCGTGTCCTAGCACTGGCTCTGTTGTACTCAGCCGAGAGTTTCCTGGCTTCACGTTCGCAGCACCATCCCAACGCCAGAGTATATCGGAGGAAACAGAAGCATTAAGAAAAACATCAAAGAAATCCGCCCGCGCCGGAGGTGCCGAGGGCGTTGTGTAGGCTCGTGTAAATCGCAAGGATCCGGCTAGTGTTTTTCAATGTTTTTGGAAAAATGACCGCAATTGGACCAGACCTTGGCGATGCCGGTTATGCCGGTCGGGCCAGATCGCATTATTGACATCCCAGACGTCTCGGCAAGCCAGGGGCGCTGCACTATGGATATGCGATGCCGGTTATGCCGGCCGGGGGAGACTGCATTATGGACATCGCAGAAATCGCAAACGTCTAGGCAAACCGCGGGTCACTGTACGATTGATATCGTGGATGTGTTCGGTCGTGTGCCCAGTCCGACTGGATGAGGTGAATGGTATTGAGCATGTGGTTTTTGATGGTTTTTGGGGGGGAACAATCGCATATGCGGAGCTGCGCGCCGCATTTTCGTCAACACATCCGAGAGCACAGGTTGCGATCTGTGCGGGCGGCTTCGACCGCGAAGCGGTGTGAATATGCAGGAACGAAGTGGCATAAATGCTAAGAGAAAAACAAGAAAGATGTGGCGAGTGGCGCGCAACAA